TTTTTTTTTCCCCCCCCCCCCCCCCGGCCCGCCACTTTGGCTTAAATTTTATGACACTCTTTTTTAATTCTAAAATTCAACTGTCATCCCCTGTTAGTATTTATCGGATTACAACGTTAATGGTGATTATTGATTTACAGAAATACTCTTTGATTATTTTATATGATAAATTTTATTCATATCCTTTGCAAATAGACATAACTTTAATAACAACCTCTACAAATAGACCTAACTTTAATTACACTCCTTCTTGATTCTGAAATTTTAATTTACTTATTTTTAATTGTATTATATTTACCTTTAGATTCATCAATTTAATATTTAATTTTATCAAATTAATATTTTTTTTTAATTTAAACTAAATTAACATTCTATCTCATCAAATCAACACAAAATTGATATTTAATTTTATTAAATTAAACATTTAGTTATATTAATTTAATATTTTATTTCATCCAATTAATATTATTTCTTTAATTTAACATTAAATTATTATTTTATTCCATCAAATCACACTAAATTGACATTTAATTTTGTTAAATTAAAATTAATATATTAAATAGAATATAAAATTTTATTAATTTAACAATTAATCTTATCAAATTAATGTCATCTATTTAATTTATCATCAAATGAACATTCAATTTCATTAAAGCAACATTAAAATTTATTTAATTAATATTAAATTTTATCAAATCAACACTAAATTAATATTTAATTTTATCAAATTAAGACTAAAATTATTCAATTAACATTAAATTTTATCAAATAATATTTAAATTTTATGTATGAAGGATGATGTGTGAAAAGTGGTGGCAGAGGAGTTAGAAATGGATGAGATTTTGACATTGATTTTATCAATTATAATTTTTATTATAGAAAAATTATTTTTAACTATAAAAATTATAAAAACTCGATTATTTAACCGAATGAATGATAATATAATGACTAATGTTATAATAAAGTTATCATGCAACACTTTAAAATCGTAAACATTCGTTGTAATAATATAATTATAGAAATCACACTTGTTGGATGGTTAGGGTATATATAATGGGGAAATAATTGACATTTTTAATTTATTTATATAATAAAAGGTAATTTTGGTATTTTTATAAAATATTTAATCAAATCATTACTTTATCTACTCGCAAGGACAATAATTACCGTTAAAGGGGTGTCATTAATTTGAAAGTATAAACTATAAAGGTATACAGTGAAGTTTCAAAATTGGAAAGAGGTGTCATTCAATTTAAACCTAACGACATTGGGTGAATAAAATTTTCCCTGTATATATTTTTTTAACTTCCTCTACATAACGATATTTTTGAATTTAAACCTAACGATATTTTTTGAAATTATATGTAGTTGTTTTAGTATTTCTTTTGTTACAAATAAATATTTATTGTAGGACAAATAAGTGATATCTTGCTCTAATAATAATGAACGATATGCATGGATTATACGCTTTGTAGGTCTATTAGATTGTGAGATATGCATTAGATCATATGCTTCATGTGTCTATTAGATTGTTAGATATGCATAGAAGATGAATAGCTTGTGTTTCTGATATTTGGTTATTAAATCTTAATATCACGTGGTATCTAAAACTCGGTATTACTAGTATATTAAATACGTCTTTTATTATAAATTTAAAACTAAAATTTGGCTTAGTTGGTACACTTAATTAGAATTTGGAATTCGGGCCATAAAAATTTGGAATCCTAAGCAAAAATTTTAGGGACATTTGGTAGTTGGTACACTTAATTAGACTTAGTGGATAAGTTCATAGTGAAAAATATTTTGTGAAAAAAGTCATCTAATGATGATATAGTCCATAGTGTTTGAGATGTAAATTTTTTTTTTTTTACTTCAAAATTACACTACCTACCACTATATATGAAGTCACATTTATAATCACACTTTTAACGCACACTTTGTTGATACACTTTCTTTTCACATAGTGTTATTTTGTTTGAGTAATCTTTTGTTGTCATAGTTTTTCCTTAAACCATTCTTATAGTGTGACAATGGATTTTGATAAAATTTTCCAAATATAATGACATTATTGGTGAAGCAATTTAGACAATACGATTACACACACGTTCATTTGGTTTAATATTGTGACAATGGAGTATGACACCATTGACTGAGCGACTTGAACACGACAATTACACATACATTCTTTTGTTTTAATAGTGTGATAATATAGTATGACATCATTCTTTTCAGAGCTTGACCACTACGTTTACAAATGCGCGCATTCATTTGATTTAATAGTGTACAATCACAATTAACAAAATAAAAAAAATAGCATTATAGACATAAAATTGAAACAAAAAAAATGACTATTCAAATAATTACACATACTGAAATCTAGAGCCACAAATATGAAGAGACGAAGAAATCAAAAACATAATTTATATATGATATACCATATTATATAAATTATATGAAGTTATAATGATATGAAAGAAAATTATAGTGTAACAATATAACATCGAGAACGTGGAGAAAACTATCTATTTTGGAAAAAAAAAACTAACTTGGTCTAATAACAATTTGATCGAAAAAAGGAAACAAAAAATGAATAGAAGTATAATTAGAACCTGATAACAACTAAATGTTGCAGAAGAAGAAAAACGAAAACTAGTTGGAGAAGATAAGGATGATTATTTAACGTTAAGTAGTTGGAGAAGAAGAAAGAAGATACGTTTGATGGCAAATATACTGAAAATATAACTGCCAAATTTAATATGCATGATTTAAGGGGAGGGTAAAATATGTCAATGAAAAATGTAATAAAGTCAAAAAGTGTATTTGGATACAGTAAAATTAGGAAGATAGGATTAAAGGATTTAACATTAAGAACTAATTAAGCAAAATGGAAGAAGAAGAAGGCGAAAGAAGTAATTAAGCGATCTGTCCTAATTCAAGTGTTGCGACCAGAAGATTTGAGCACCACAATGGAAAAAACAAATAAATCAATTAATTAAAAGTGAAACTGAAAATAGCTATCCCTTTTAGTAAAATTTTCCTCAATTTCCTGTCGTACACATTTCTTCAATATCCCACGATTAATATATGTGGTGGTATCAAATGCGTGGAAGGGTTTTGGATCCCTTAAGATACACTTTCCCTCACTTTTCTGTCATAAACTCTAATGAGAATTACTATAACAAGCTGTTCACCTATCAATAAGAAGCAGGTAATCCATTGTCAAGTAAAATTGACAGAAAATGTGTCGATCCTAGTATGCTGAATTCAACTTTTTGCCTTCAGAACCATCCTCCAAACTTCTATTTGAATAAACGCACGGTTTAACTAATGCACACAATCACAACTTACCATTTATAGTGTTGTATAGATTTCTCCAACAAATAGTCTAATGGCAGAATCTGTTCCACTGGCAGGGATGTTGTGAGCAATTACTGCATGGAAGTTCGACAACTCGGATTCAGATTGCAGGAACTCATAGCAGAGAGCTTAGGCCTGGAAAAGGACTGCCTGAAGAATGTGTTGGGCGAACAAGGGCAGCACTTGGCCGTCAATTACTACCCACCGTGCCCGGAACCAGAGCTAACGTACGGATTGCCGGGGCATACAGACCCCAATGCTCTCACAATCCTCCTTCAAGACATCAAAGTTGAAGGACTTCAAGTTCTCAAGGATGGCAAGTGGTTAGCTGTCAAACCCCACCCCAATGCTTTTGTCATCAACATTGGTGATCAGTTACAGGTACTTATTGTTATAAATATTTCAAAATAGTGTATATATAGAGTGTGTGTGTGTGTTTAAATGGGTTTCCATGTTCATTTTAAAAAGTAGTGAAAACCTTATAAGAGAATATCACATTAAAAAGTGAGAAGTGGAATGCATTTGTTAATAGTTTAATTAAAATCAATGATGGTATTAAATACAATGATGGCATTATCTAGATTATTGTCGCAAAGAAGTGCGATCCAATGGTCATATTTAACTATATAAATGATTGTTAGTATGACAACTATTTTTGAAAATTTAAATGTCTATTGATTAACATACATATTTTCTTCTCTTAAACAATCACCATGCGTATTCAATGGCTGCCTGAATATGCACCATTAATCTATAAATAGACATTCATCTAACATTCTAATTACATTGTTAATTTTCTAACGTCTATCTTACTTAAGGCTTGATCTCTTTCGTTGATTTGTTTATCAGATTTTGTTTTTCTGTAGAAACTGTAATCTGGTGTTTTGGCTATGTAGAAAAATCTAAAGGTATTTGAATTTGGATTTGTTTGACAAAATCAAACAAGAGATTTCATTTGGGTTGTTGAGGGGGAGATTATGTGGATCTTCCCTTGCGATGAAACATTTTGGGGTGAAAAACACTGCCTAGAGCGAGAAGGGGGATGAATAAGTTAATTAAACTTATTCTCAGACAAACACTAATTTTAAACTAATTCGATCTTAATGACCTCTTCTCACAATGATATGACAATTAATAGCGAGAACCTCATTTCAACCCCAACAACCCCTTAAACCGATGCAGATTAGTGTATTGATTTTCCCAATTAAACACTCAACACTTAATCTCTCAGGGTGATCCTAACCCAATGACAACACTTAACCCAATCAAGTAATTATGTGTGATGTAGATATTTAAACAATCATATTATCAAACACATAGTGCCCATATGTGCATTAAATTACAAGTGTGTACAAAAATTAACAAGAATGAATACAAGCAATTTGTTGACGCAGAAACCCTCTTTGAAAAAATTGCGAGGAACCACTCAAGGGTTCACTAAAGCTTAATTCACTATCCCAAATCCAGTTTACAAGTACTCGAGATTAATACCTAAACTAATATCGTGGTTAGATGCTTATTTCCTTCAATAACCCTCCCTCGGATACACCCACTGATGTTATAGATAGCTTTACTTGGATTATCCAATGCAATGGATCATCTTGGCCTCAAGCAATCTTCTATGCTAAAATCCTTGGTCTGCAAGTTCTTCTTATTCAAGGTGTAATATTGGATATGAATCACAAGATAATAGCCTTTGGGTTTAGGGATCTAGGGTTGTGGCTTAAACTCTCAAGGTGTAAGATAGATAAAAATCTCTCTAACAGGCTTATAAGAGGCTTACCTAGGTTGGGAAGATATTGCTCTATTCATAAGCTCAAAGTAGGGTTTGTCTTGGGGTCCAAGAAAACACAAATTCGCAAATGACCGCTCGAGCAGTGGGAGGGCGGAGATTACTAGAATGAAATTTGGGTTCAAACTAGAAAGACAAAATAGAGATGGCTTGAGCGGCCTTGGGGACCACTCACGCCTTCTCAAGACCACTGAGAGCGACCTAGAGGGTGATCTTTGTTGCCACACTCATAGCCTTTTCTCGAATTATTCCCCAAGTCTTTAGAGATCACTCTAGTGAAGGCTAACAAATATAGCACAGTCCCTACTAGATTTTTAAGCCTAAAAACAAGATAAAAAACTAGTCATCTTGAACATTCAAGGGTATTGTTCAAGAGGGGTTCGGTAATGGCTAAAACTATGTTTTTAGATCTTCATCATTGTATCATGATGACCATGGAATATGTTGAGATTTTACATGGAATTTGTGAAATTAGGAAATTCCAAAACATGATCTAATAATATTCCCCTTTGGCAATTTTGTGACAAAATACACAAGTAAGAAATTAAAATTATAAAATGAATTATAAATAAATCTCAACAATAGTGCACAAGTCCCTAATATTTAAGTACAAGAACTATCTTAAGATGTAGCTTTGAAGATCATAGTTGTGCACTTTGCAACTAAAACCAATATCTCATGAACAACATAATATGTAAGAAAAACATAATGTAATCACATGCATGAAAATCACCATGAAAAGAATATGGCATATTCATGTTAAAATCGTGTAAGTATAATTATGTAACTTATATAAGAACTACTTTGCTGTCCATTTTTGTGTGTTAATGTGTATGTGTGTGTGGGAGTGTGTTTCTTTTGGTGTTTTAGTGTGTTTGTGTTGGTGTATTTGTGTGTCTGTGAGTGTGTGTGTTTTGGTGTATTAGTGTGTGTATGTTTTGGTTTTTTTTGTGTGTATGTGTATTGGTATTTTTGTGTGTGTGTGTGTGTATGTATGTTTTAGTGTAGTAGTATGTGTGGTGTGTGTGTTTGAGTGTTTTTTGATATATTAGTGTGTGTGTTTTGATGTATTAATGTGTGGGTATTTTTTTTTTTTNTAAACTCTCAAGGTGTAAGATAGATAAAAATCTCTCTAACAGGCTTATAAGAGGCTTACCTAGGTTGGGAAGATATTGCTCTATTCATAAGCTCAAAGTAGGGTTTGTCTTGGGGTCCAAGAAAACACAAATTCGCAAATGACCGCTCGAGCAGTGGGAGGGCGGAGATTACTAGAATGAAATTTGGGTTCAAACTAGAAAGACAAAATAGAGATGGCTTGAGCGGCCTTGGGGACCACTCACGCCTTCTCAAGACCACTGAGAGCGACCTAGAGGGTGATCTTTGTTGCCACACTCATAGCCTTTTCTCGAATTATTCCCCAAGTCTTTAGAGATCACTCTAGTGAAGGCTAACAAATATAGCACAGTCCCTACTAGATTTTTAAGCCTAAAAACAAGATAAAAAACTAGTCATCTTGAACATTCAAGGGTATTGTTCAAGAGGGGTTCGGTAATGGCTAAAACTATGTTTTTAGATCTTCATCATTGTATCATGATGACCATGGAATATGTTGAGATTTTACATGGAATTTGTGAAATTAGGAAATTCCAAAACATGATCTAATAATATTCCCCTTTGGCAATTTTGTGACAAAATACACAAGTAAGAAATTAAAATTATAAAATGAATTATAAATAAATCTCAACAATAGTGCACAAGTCCCTAATATTTAAGTACAAGAACTATCTTAAGATGTAGCTTTGAAGATCATAGTTGTGCACTTTGCAACTAAAACCAATATCTCATGAACAACATAATATGTAAGAAAAACATAATGTAATCACATGCATGAAAATCACCATGAAAAGAATATGGCATATTCATGTTAAAATCGTGTAAGTATAATTATGTAACTTATATAAGAACTACTTTGCTGTCCATTTTTGTGTGTTAATGTGTATGTGTGTGTGGGAGTGTGTTTCTTTTGGTGTTTTAGTGTGTTTGTGTTGGTGTATTTGTGTGTCTGTGAGTGTGTGTGTTTTGGTGTATTAGTGTGTGTATGTTTTGGTTTTTTTTGTGTGTATGTGTATTGGTATTTTTGTGTGTGTGTGTGTGTATGTATGTTTTAGTGTAGTAGTATGTGTGGTGTGTGTGTTTGAGTGTTTTTTGATATATTAGTGTGTGTGTTTTGATGTATTAATGTGTGGGTATTTTTTTTTTTTTGATGTATTAGTGTTTGTATTTTTTAGTGCATATTTTGTTTTTCAAAAATATTTTATCAGACATACTTTTGCCTTTTGCTTTGAAACAAAATGAAAAATTTATCAAATTTGATTTTTTATTTAAAAAATGTATTTTGAAAAAGCATTACCAAATGGAGGCTTAGTTTTGCATTTCGATATATTTATGTGGGTTCATCACTTGCTATGAGCTTAATTGCATGTACATGTGTAAACATGCTATTCATTTACTAAAATTTATATAGATTACTTTTGTAAAACAATAATTCAATATATTTTTGAAAAAAGTATTACATAGGTGAGTAGGCAATTTAGAAACTACTCAGTATGAGTGATTATATGCCACCTTGGAGCTCAATAAATTTTACTGGTAATTACGGACATAGATCGTTCAACATGGCTTCCTCTCTCGTGGATTTTTGCGCATTAAGAGATATATATGAAATATGCTTTGAAATGCATGACTCGGGATCTTATTATAATTGATAAAAAGGCTATTCCTAATCTACAAGACTCTCATATAAAGGAGGGTTTGAGAGAGTTAAATGGTAGGCAACTCGGAGTTCATGGCTTTTTTAAGAACCTATTTCTAGACTTGAACTCACTCTATATGTCTTAAATGAACGGGCACTTACCATCTCTTCATAATTGATTTATGTCTGAATGCAACGATATTAACATGATTAAATTAGAATGCACTAATGATCTTCACAAGAAAAAAACATGATTTCTGCCCGTTTCTATATTTCATGTACTTAATCTCTATACCCAATGAATATTGACAACGCTTAATTGTAGGCACTAAGTAATGGGAAGTTCAAGAGCATATGGCACCGAGCCGTTGTCAATGCAGACATACCAAGGATGTCTGTAGCCTCTTTCCTCTGCCCGGATGACAATGCGACAATCAGTGCTCCAACAACACTTACTAATGATGGATCCTCAGCCCTTTACCGGAGCTTCACATATGCCGAGTATTACAAGAAATTTTGGAGCAGGAACCTTGACCAAGAACATTGTTTGGAACTTTTCAAGAACTAATATCATCGAACATTGGTTCGTTTCATCAAAATTCTACTACATTCATGAACTCTTGGACTCATTACCAAGATTACATGGAGCATTCGGTAAGATCTAGTGATTTTGTTGAGTGAATTTCCTCCTTTAGTTCTTAGAGTTGAGGCATACTTGGAAGCATTTCTCTGTCAAATTCTCTCTAGTTTTTAGTGTTTACATTTTCTGGCTTTTACATTTCTTAGCTTTTACATTTCTTGTTAAGCTCTCTTCTTCATTTGAAGGGATGAACTTCTCTCACCTTTCTGGTTACTTTGAAGCCATGAAGGGTGAGTAGTATTTCATTCATTCTTTAGTGAAGAAAGAAGCGTTATACTTATCCCTTGTAAACTAGTCTCTTTATTTGGAGTGATGAACTTCTTTCACTTTTCTAGTTTGCCTTGAAGTTATTCATTCACTCTTTTATGAAGAAAGAGCTTGTATTCATCCTTTGTAATTTTAGTTTCTTTACTTAAAGTGATGAGATTCTCTCACTTTTTTAGCTCACTTGTGGCCATCAAGAGTGAGTAGTTTTTCATTTACTCTTTAGTGAGGTTGATGAATCTGTAATGTATTGTTTGGGAATTATATATGTGCAATTTTATTATGCTTAATTGTCTCGTCTAACGTTTGAATGATTGAATATATCAAGCAAAGCTTAAGAACTTTGTATAATTGTTTGATCACCTGTTGACAAGTTAAGTCTTGGTATAGGTGATGCTGATTCCATACAAGTACCCAAGTTAGGTCTTCATGAAAATCTTTCAATTTTCATTTCTATTGTACTTAACCATATGCTTGATTAACTTATTAAGATAGACGTTTTGTTAAAGTTGTTTGATTAGTTATAGACATGTTAAGTCTTGACATATTCAATGTTTGTAACCTGACGCATAATGTTAGAGCTAGGCTCTTTAAAATAAAAACAATCATTATCTTTCAGTGAACTTACTGTTGACATAGGGGTTAACTGAGTTATCCATACAACACAAATATGGCACTCAAACACTTATACATATTTCTAGATTCTTAAACTAAACAGTGACTCTTCCCTATTGTTGAAAACCTTGTATTTTCCTGAGCACACAACTCTTAACAACCAATCATTTTATAAGTTTTCCTTCTCCTTTTTCTCTATTGATCTTCTGGTTAAAGTATCTACATTAGTTTCCTGTGGATACGACCTTAGATTTAACTGAGTTGTTACTACAACTTGACCACTTATACTTGGGAGTGCATATCATTTGTCAAATCAAATTTTTGGCACCGTTGTCAAGAAACTATGGTATTTTGAAATAAAAGTGAAGAGACTTTGATTATTTTGTATATATTATTGTTTATTACATTTTCTTTCCATTTTGAATTCTTTTTATGTCTGTTGAATCAGTTGGGTCTGTAAATCAATCAAATCATTCAACACCTAAATCAATTATATGCAATTTTTTAAATAGTATGACCAATAATCAGAAAGACAAGGATGTAGTCCCTAATATGCGACCTCTAAGAGAATATTTACATTCTGCATTGAATAGTTTCCTCTCTTGTTTTGTATTTCCTGTAAATGCACCAAACTTAAATGTGAAGTCTGGTACAGTGAAATTATTATTGTAAAATCCGAAAAAAATTGAACTTTTTTTTTTTTTTCTGAAAAAGGGTAAAATAGTAATTTGCCACTAATATGCGGGTTTAAAATGCATATTTCTATAGAGCTTGGATGGAGCAACGGACTTCACCGTTAGATTTGTATCGCGGAATTGAGCTGTCATGTCAATTTTCGTAGAATTCTAAGATAGTCGAATTTTACACATTTTTCGAGACAATTGGGTGACGAATGTACTTTCAAAAGCCCCTAAAAATGGAAATTATAAAATTTTTTTATAATTGAATAAAATTTCAAATAAAATTTATTTAAACTGGAACCAAAATTTAATTAAGTCGTTTCGGATTAAAAAACGGACCCGGAAGTGATAAACATGCGGGACAATGTAAACTGCGCAATTAAAAGTATAAATAGGGGCAAAATATTTAAAAATTCAGATATTTTTACCCATTTGGCTGGCTGTGTTCAAAGGTTGAAGGGAGAGAGGAGAAAAATCATTTTTTCAAGGCTTTCTTCTTCGATCCAAGAAGTTCCGTCGATCGGAATATGTCGGACCAAGAGTTAAAGTTGGTCTACGCGACAAGGGCTATGCGTATGTACCAAGAACGAGGGATTTCACTGAAAATCTAAGAGGAGGCTTTATAGAAATCAAGAATTTGGAGTTTGGTTGGTGTTCTAGAGGTGCCTACCATTCATCTCACGTTTCAAGAGGTAAGGGTTCTCCTACTTTGGTTCACTTCTACCCTAGGATGTTTTATGAAATGGTTAAGGGTTTGGAATAGCCTAAGTCACTTGACTATGGTTAAGGAATAGAGGAAATGAGTATGGAATTGGCCTAGACCAAATCCTAGCAAAGTTTGGTATTGGGGAAGTATTTGTGTAATCCCTTGAAACTTGATACTTGAGCATGCTATGTGTTTTATAGTGCTTGTACATAAAGTGTGTTGTTAACATGCTTATGAAATGTGTTGGAAGGAAATGTTAATATGTGCTAATTGATGTATTAACATTGTGACAATTTATGGTAATTATATGCGTTGATAGAAATTTCCATGACATATGTGAGATATATGGTTAAATGGCTCATGTGGTAATCTTTACATAACAACATGACATTGATTAAGTAATGGTGCATTATATTGCATTTGCACGGGGAGCATCCATGACCATGAGTATGGGTGTGTGTGTGCATGGTTGATCAATCACCATAATTGGTGTTTGATGGGTGGGCTCGGGAAAGTGGGGTTGAATATCCTACTAAGTCGCACGGTTGCATACATGGAAAAACTTGTGTCGGATATAACAAGAAGAGATAGATCCCCCCTCGGGTGCAAGACCCGATTACTGGTTTATACACTTTCAACGGTGCAAATCTAAAAAAAAGTGTATCGGTGTGTGGAGCCAGTGGTACAACACCAAAAGTCCACTACCCAAATAAGACACATGATTTTGGTTTTATAAATGATTCATTTGATGGGAAACATCCAAAAAATGAATTAGTTTGTATGAACACATGAGTTTTTGTTTCAAAATGATCTTTGGATGTATTTCATCAAAGATAAATGTTTTACGCACATGCATTGCATAGTGTTGTGGAAGCCGAAGTAGGCTTGGGCAAAAAAAAATGCATGAGTGAGTCTCATCTCATATCATGACATGGCATGGAGGAATTTCATCTTGAATAACATGTTCTTGGATGAAATGGAATTATGTTTGTGGTTGTTGCATGAGACCATTGCATATGCACTTAGGTAGGAAGTAACCTCTGTAAGAAATATTTTACTGAGTGTTGGCTCACCCTATACGGGAAACATTTCAGGTGCGGGGTTAACACCGGCAGAGAACTTGCACTTGGGACCTCGAGGGTGAAGAAAAGTCGATTTGTGGCTTTTGGAGACAAATTTTTGTAAAACTTAGGTTTAATTTCCATTTTGACATGTAATTGTGTAAATGGCTTGTAATAGAACTTGTAGATATCAAGTTTTATGCGATAAACATCATTATATATGTTTGAAATGATGTTGGGGTGGTTTCAAATGGATTGGACATGAAAAATAGGTGAAACGGACAAAACTGGGCAGAGTGTACCGGTACTGTGTACCGGTACCGTATGGTCCAGAAGACAGAGCGTACCGGTATTGTCTGTCCAGAGGGCAAACCGTATTGGTACGCACGCTTTTCCAAATTTTAAAACTAAAGTGCTATGCCTTTGGACTTTGGTTCCTTGGTTTCAAAGATACAAATGGACATTAAATGAGATGTATTGGGGTATATTGAACCTTGGTTAGATTAATTTATTGAAAGAACATGGGTTACACGTGTGAGTTAAAATCCCAGGTAAAGAGATATTATTACGTGATGTTGGATTATGCGGTACTCACGGATATTTTCGCAGGTTGACGGTGGTCAACGGGACCCCCCGATCTACGGACGTCACAACTACCTCAATTTCATGGCCTTGAATCTAAAAATCTATATTTACACATGAAAAAATTCAAGAAGGTATGCCGGACATTCTAATACAATTCAAAATTGGCATGGTTGAAACTTTTTCCCTTCTCTCTGAAGGACAAAGTTAAATAATGACTAAATTTTTTGAAATCCCAATCTATATCAAGTTGGTAAGTTTTGCAAACTAAATTTTTCAAAACGTTAAACAATGGGAAAATACTAAACGTATTGGTGTGACCTCAATCACAATAGCCTATGTACAAATCATCCCTGAAAATCATCTCCAATAAAATCAAAGTAATCCACAAAATAGATAGATAAATCACAACGGCCAAAATCTTTAATTTGATAAATCTTATATCAATCACGAGTCAATTCTTCAAATACCCACAGGTCATCATCGTAAGTAGCCAAACTTAGGACAGTTTATAGAATCTCAAACCTATGCTCTGATACAAAACTGTAACACCCCGACCAATTTCCATAATAATATTCAAAGCGCTAATAGCCTCCGTAGTTACTAAATAACATAATCTCCAAATAATGAATAAACTCTAATACCAATTTCATATGCATTTCAAATATGTACATCCAACCTACTATAATTTACACACCTCAGATGTTATACACTATTTAGTTATGATCCCTTACTAGAAATAGTCATAAAACTTGATGTTTGTAACATAACACATGTTTAGCTCTTCGATAATAACCAAGGAAAAATTGGCAGTTTGAACAATCACGAACTTCCCCATCAACTGCTAATCTAAAAAAAAGGATTAGTTTGAAAATACATAGTTTAGCATGATTGGGCAACAGTGAATGAGCATTTGGTATACATATATGGGTAAAAATGTCATTTCATGTAAAACAATAACAGTTAAGTAAAACTGTAAAGTAGAGTTCAAAAATTCAAGTATAGTGCTACATTAGTGGA